ATCCGACTCAGAATAGCAACCGAGACTGCTGGAGCACTTTCATATTTACACTCTGCGGCCTCTGTCCCGATCATCCATCGAGATATCAAGCCAACAAATATACTTCTAGATGATAACTATATAGCAAAAGTATCTGATTTTGGAGCATCCAAGCTAATTCCTACGGATCAGATTGAGTTGGCTACAATAGTCCAAGGAACACTAGGCTACTTAGACCCAGAATACTTGCAGACGAACCAGCTGACAGATAAGAGCGATGTTTATAGTTTTGGGGTCGTACTAGTAGAACTTCTAAGCGGAAAGAAGGCTCTTAGCTTTGATAGGCCAGAGAAAGAAAGAAACCTTGCCATGTATTTCTTGTCTTCTTTGAAAGAAGGGACACTCTTCCATGTTCTTGATGAACACTTGCTGCTAAATGAAGGTATTCCAAACGAGATCATCAATGTTTCAAGACTTGCAGAAAGATGCTTGCGTGTGAATGGAGATGAAAGGCCTACCATGAAGGAAGTGGCAATGGAGCTGGAAGGAATATTGGCATCGATGATACAGAGGCATCCATGGGTGCAAACTACTTCAAAGGAAGAAGAATCTGAGTATTTGCTTAAACAAGCAATGGATGGCTCTGAATATACGAATGCGACCAACACCAGCTCAATGACCTTCGATAGCATCACCAAGCAGACTATATTACCCATGTCTAGTGGTAGATAAATTAAGAAAAGACTTGTATCTATATCATTAATAAGACTTACCAATTACCCATTTAGGGAACGCATGCAATTGATAAGTGAAAAGTAAAAAACTTAATGTCTTGGATGGACTTTATTTTGATTGGTTTATAAATGTCGAGTCTTTTGACGGTAGATTCTCAAAATTGCTCAAAAAAACATTCAAACTTTAAACTGGGTCGCATAGAGCCGTTTAATTATTCTTCAGAGTGGATCGGACCATTAGACCGTTCAAGTTGTCAAAATAGTTGGTTTTAGTTCGACCAGGTTGAACGGTTTTTTTGAACATCCGTCCATAACAATAAATTAAAAATTAACGCAACATTAGATTCAACGTAATGTTAAATAAGGTGGAAATAGAAATGGTAAAGGGAATAGTCAGATAAGCGAAGTAAGTTGAAAGCATAAATTACACAAATAACCATTTCAGATACAAGTTTTCATTTTTTAGCTAATTTATAAAATGGTTTATAGCCATAATTTACACACGGACTTTACACGGAAGAAATTTTTATACATAAAATTTTGTCTTTTATACACCGTAACGATCCAATTGTAAGAGTAGAGCTCCACCAACTCGGCTATATCTCCTCGAGTCAATTAAAACATGCATGAAGGAGTCAATATGAACACGGGTTATTTATTTGTGGTGGAAAATAATTAGTATGGAAAAAAAAATGTAAAATTGACTTGAAAAGGTCAAAAGTCAAAAGTCATGGAGGGATTGGGATGTGTTTGGGTTCTCTGAAAACAAATGAAAGGGAAGTTAACAGCAAAGTTTCAAAATTGTATGTACATAATTAGTATCTATGCATATAATAGATTATCTATACTACTTTATAAATCAGATTTATCAAAAGTCTTAAAAATAGTTTTTAATGCACAAAGTACTATACATTTATGAACAAAGTTTTAAAAGTTTTAAAAATAACTCATAATACATTTAGTACTACTACTTTAGGCATTCAGTCTTAAAATCTCTTAATCTACAGTTAAAATAACATATAATACAAGTTACCAATACACATTATTACTTTTTCTTTTCATGTTCCCAAGATACTTTTGGCACATTTCACTCATGTCTTCACTCTCTCATACCTTTATGTCTTCTCCCCATCTCCCAAGGTGAGATTCAAACTGATATTCATCATGCGTTATTAAATGTTCTCTCATTTATCTGTCATTCAATTACTCTAGAACTCTCGGTCTCTTTATTATTTGCTCCTGGTGTAAATCGAACACATTTGCGGAGTCGTTTAAATATGTTAGATTTTAAATATATAGGACCTTTAAACCGTCATACAATTTTTTTCATCGATAGGCTGTAATTGCATTGGAACCGTTACTCTTATTTATTCAAATTGTATTAATATGTAAAGACCAAATGTAACTTATATCATCGTTAAATCTTCACTGATAAAACCAGTAGAACTTCAAAATCGTTAAAATTCACGGCTCCCGCTAATTAATTTATAAATGAATTATAAAAACATGTGGGTGTAGTGTATAGAGATTGCTTTCTGGATAGACGTTTAATATAATTCATTAAATGACAAGGTGGTAGTAATAGACTTTCTAATTTAGAATTTTCAGTAAATGATAAGGTCAATACTTTTGTTTTTTTATTAAATATTTAAAATTCATTAGTTTTTTTAGTGAATAAAAATAAGGCCAGCAGGAAGATGTTTGGAACGACCAACTAAGTCTTGATGGCAATTGGTTAATGTCCATATTATATATAATACCCAAACTCACAAACTTGACATAAACAATATAATTAAGCAACCATGCATTTACAGATACTACTAGCAGCAGCAGCAGCTGCTATGGCGTTTTTGGGTTCAGCAACTGCTCAAGATTCATGTGAAACATCATGTGGCAATGTGACATATGCTTTCCCCTTTGGTTCAGAGGAAGGATGCTATCTCGATCCTGGTTTCCAGGTAACTTGTGACCGATCATCTGGGGAACCCATACCTTTCTTTGGAAATAGCACAACCAATATTGTTATTACAAATATGTCCACCTCCGAGAGTGAGATGGAGATTATGATGTATGTAGCCCATGATTGCTACAATACCTCTGGTCCAGTCGACAATACTGTACCATCTTTGAGTTTGACGTATTTTCGGATCTCTACCAAGAACAGGTTCGTTGCCATTGGGTGTGACACATATGCGTATATTAGTGGAGACAGAGGGGGAGAGTACCAAGATGGCACTGGATGCACTTCTATTTGTGGTAGTAACACGAGCAGTATCACGGATGAATCTTGCTCGGGAGTTGGGTGTTGTCAAGTAGCAATCCCACAAGGAATGAGCTCTTTCGAAATCACATTAAGTAGCTACAGAAACCATACAGATCTGTTGGAGCTCAACCCTTGTAGCTATGGCTTTGTCGTTGCACCAGGGAAGTTCAACTTTTCTACCAATAATCTGCATCGTTTTGGAAGCAAGATGCCCATGTTACTTGAATGGGCTATCGGGAACGAGACTTGTGATCAGATAGCAAGCAAGGACGACGTTGACAAATTATTATGCAAAGAAAACAGTGAATGTGATAAGGATTATGGTGGTCCTGGATATCGCTGCCGTTGCAAACCTGGTTATGACGGCAACCCTTATATTCAACATAGCTGCAAGAGTAAGTGCTGATTCCATATATATTTTAATTGCTTCACCCCAAGTTTGCCTCTAATGAAATGCTTCACGATTTACTACAGATATTAATGAGTGTGAACGCAAAGATCCTAGCGTTTGCCAACATGAATGCGTTGATCTCGACGGAGACTATGAGTGTCGTTGTCCTAAAGGTTACTCTGGAGGTGACAAGAAAGATGGAAGAGGTTGTATTGCAGATGAATCGCTCGTTCTACATATTGTTGTCGGTAAGAAATTATACAAGCCCCCCTCTTTTTTCAGCTTATATATGCGGAGCTACTCCGACAAATATATGAGAATTCCCCATAGGCTAGATTTTGAACATTTCTAATCAATATATATTGGAACATCACTTCTCTTGTCAATAGATTTTTTTGGACGGTAAACTAATGGGGTTTCACATATTTTCACATGAAAGTCTACCGCTTGAGGGGCGTGTTAATCAGAGTCTCCCATCAGCTAGACTTTAACCATTTATATCCAATATATGTTGGAACCTCCTTTCTCTCCTCAGAGACCATTATGGAGAATAATCTTTAAGAGTTGCACATATCTTCACATATTTGCAAATCCTCATGTTGTATATAAGCTAATTCTTCTCGTTGCAGGTACATTAGCTGCTGCTATATTTCTGCTTGTATTCATCGCCTGGTTGTACTTGGGACTCAAGAAGCGTAAACTTCTTATGCTTAAGGAAAAATTCTTCAGACAAAATGGTGGGATAATGTTGCAGCAAAAGTCTTCACCATAGAGGAGCTTAAGAGGGCAACCAACAACTATGATGAGACCAGGATTATCGGAAAGGGTGGCTTTGGCACAGTTTATAAAGGTGTTCTATCGGATAAAAGAACCGTTGCCATCAAGAAATCCAAACTAGTAGATCAAACCAAATCTCAGATAGAGCAATTTATCAATGAAGTGGTTATCCTTTCCCAAATCAATCATAGAAACGTGGTGAAGTTGATTGGATGTTGCTTAGAAACTGAAGTCCCCTTGTTGGTTTACGAATTCATTTCAAATGGCACCCTCTCTGATCACATACACGATGAAAGCAGGTTGTTGGCTCTTACTTGGGACATCCGACTCAGAATAGCAACCGAGACTGCTGGAGCACTTTCATATTTACACTCTGCGGCCTCTGTCCCGATCATCC